AGCAAGAGAAAGAAAGTCAGTTACCTACAAGGGAGTACCCATACGGACTGTCAGCTGATTTCTCAACAGGAACTCTGCAGGCCAGAAGGGAGTGGCAAGAAATATTCAAAGGGATGAATGCCAAGAACCTACAACCAAGAATACTTTATCCAGCAAAGCTATCATTCAGAAGTGAAGGTCAGATAAAGAGCTTCACAGATAAGGAAAAGCTAAAGGAGTTCATCACCACCAAACCAGTATTATATGAAATGCTGAAAGGTATCCTTTAAGAAGAGGAAGAAGAAGAAAAAGGTAAAGATACAAATTATGAACAACAAATACACATCTATCAACAAGTGAATCTAAAAATCAAGTGAATAAATAATCTGATGAACAGTATGAACTGGTGATTGTAATAGAATCAGGGACATAGAAAGGGAATGGACTGACTATTCTTGGGGGGAAAGGGTGTGGGTGGTGCAGGAAGAGATTGGACAATAATCGTGCACCTATGGATGAGGACAGTGGGTGGGGAGTGAGGGCGGAGGGTGGGATGGGAACTGGGTGGAGGGGAGTTATGGTGGTAAAAAAGAGGAACCAATGTAATAATCTGAACAATAAAGATTTAATTTTTTTTAAAAAAAAAAACTTCTCTCAGCCTAGCCAGTTTGACTTAGTGGATAGAGCATTGGCCTGAGGACTGAAGGGTCCTGGGTTCGATTCCAGTCTAGGGCATGTACCTTGGTTGCAGGCTCAATTGGGGTGCATACTTGAGGCAGCCAATCGTTCACATCAATGTTTCTCTCCCTCTCTCTCTCTCTTCCTCTCTCTCTCCCCCTCCCTTCCACTCTCTCTAAAATCAATGGAAAAATATCCTTGTGAGGATTTTAAAAAAACATACCTCCTCTCATGGCAAACTGATCTATAGTGAGAGAAACCAGATCAGTAGTTGCCTGGGTGGGAGTGGGGAAATGAGTGGAAAGTCACTGAGGGAACTCACTGAGGCGGTGAAAATGTTCTAAATCATGACTGGGGGGACAGTTACATGGGTGTATGCATATGTCAAAGCAGAATGTACATTTAGGATCTGTGTGTTTTACTATACGCAACCCCTACTCACTCACCCAATCTTATTACAGTACTACAGTTCCCTAAAAGTTGGAGAGGAGAGAATACAAAGGGAAAATAGTTGTAAATATATAGACATGGTGGGTGCCAGAGAGAGGGACTCTACATTCATCCCCTGGGAGTCTGCAGTAATGGCCGAAACTTGGGTTTGGAGACTCTAAAAAGTGGAGGGCACCTGGACCCTTGTCCCTAGGTAAAGCCCCAGAGAGGTGTCAGGAAACCAGAAGAACAAAGGGGTTGCTTGGCCTATCAGAATAGAACAGTTCCCCCCTGGCCAGTCTGGCTCAGTTGGTTGAGCGTCGTCCCAAGCACAGAGAGGTCATTTGTCCAATTGCTCGTCAGGGCACAAGCCCAGGTTGTGGGCTTGATTCCCAGGAGGCAGTGATCAGTGTTTCTCTCTCTCCCTCTCCCTTCCTCTTTCTCTAAAAATCAATCTAAAAATCAATTTAAAAATCTTTTTAAAAATAAAATAAAATGCTGACCTTCACCATGGATTTTTCTTTTGGTATCAACTGTGTTTGGGATACAGTCTGGAGAACAGGACGTGTTGTTGCCTAAGAGCTAGGAAACTGAGACTTTCGAGAGTAAGTAAACACAACCAGGATTTGAACTCAGGCCGAGCATACCCTCTTGACCTCTGCATGATATCATGTCAGTAAAAGCTTGCTATTAAAAGTTTCAAAAAAAGGACATATGTGATACTTTCAACAATAAAGATTTTTTAAATACATAAATAAAAGTTTCAGTGGCTCCAAAGCAATTCCAATTTCTTTCCATCCAGACCAGGGAAGGATGTGTAAGTCTGGGAGAGGAGCAGGCTGGCCCTGCTGGTTCTCAGGGGCTTGAAGGGGTAGCTCACCTGCTCATCAATGCTACTGATGATGACCAAGTGAGAGTAATTCTCTTGGCAGAACTTTCGGGCTTCATCCCATGACTTGGTGTTGGGGGAGAAGTAGTAACACTTGCCCTGAAAAGGGAGCCAGCCCTCAGGGCAGGTGACCCTGGCACAGTCTGGAAACAGGATAGACTGCAATGAGAATCGTTCCCATGGATTGGTGCAATACACCAGCTCTGCCATGGCCCCATCTCAGGACAGTTCCCCAAGTCCCACTCACCTAATAAGCCCCGGAGTTCCATCAGAGACTGGTTGGTGTTAGCTCTTACTCGGTCAATGTCCTTCTTCAGGCCAGCAAGCCCCGCCATGCCAGTCACTGTCAGCAAGGAGGAACTGGAAGGTTAGAGACCCAAACCCCCATCTACCCACTCACCTACCCCTGACTGCAGACACGGCAGAGAGCACACAAGCTGTGCTCCCCACTGCACCCACATTCTTGTGGGTGGTTGTACAATTCAAAACCAACATGCTCAGTGCCTAGGAGGAGTCCTAGAGTGGCTCAGAGGAGGGGTTAATTTCTGGAGCTTGGGGAAGATGGGGATGGTGGGTTTCCTGGAAGAGGTGAGTTTTGAAGGAAGACACTAATTCAGGGAGGGGGTGGGCACAGCAGGCACCTTGGAAGCAAAGATAGAGAGGCAAGTAGGTCCAGGAAGGCGGGTGCAGTAGGACTCAAGGGAAACTCGTAGGAGCTTGAGCTCACAGTAGGATGAAGGCCAATGTCCTGTCCATTGAGTGTCAAGTCAAGGGTTTCATATTGGATTCTGGGCAGTAAGAAGCCATTGACGGTTCTTGAGTGGAAGAGTGGCTTGCTCTGAGGTGTGGGATGAGGGAGTGTGGAATGCAGCAATTTGCAGACTTCAGCAATCATAGTGAAGACCATGCCAGCCCAGAAAATTCTTCTACAACTAGTGTGTGTATTTCCACTGCTCCCACACAAACTTGCCCTCTTCCAACACTCCCCAGGTTCATCAGTAGATGGTCCTTCAGTTAGACAAACCAGAAATATAAGATATATATAGCTATGGAAAGATAAAGACATACAGATAGGGATAGAGATATATGACACATGTTATCCTTGACACCCTTCCCTCTCTCTCCTCATCATTCCCAATCCATCCCCAGATCTGGTTCATTTTACCTCCTAAACCTTTCTACTTCACACAGTTCTCTCCATCCCCACAGCCACAACCCTCATCCAAGCCATTGTCAACTCTCACCTTCCAAATACACCATCCTCCTCCCTTGTACTTAAACAGTGTTACCTCCTACCACAGAGCCTTTGCACATGCCTGAGACTCTCAACCCCTCACCTGGTTAATTCCCTCTCTTCTTTCACTCAACTTCAATACCAATCCCTAGGGAAGCCTTGTATGATCCTCCCAAAGATAAGGTCAAGACCCTTTGTTAGACTTTTTCATAGAATCAACTTCCTCTTCCTTTAGACTATTCATCAAAGTTTGAAATTTTATGCTCATGTAGATGATAATTTGGTAAATGGCTGTTTATGCCTGTGCTATACAACAGAAACAAAATGTGAGCCACATAGGTAATTATAAATTTTGTGAGAGCCACATTTTTAAACTCAAAAGAAACAGATAAAATTATTTTCAATGCTATTCTTATTTATCCCAATCTATCCAAAATATTATCATTTCAATATGTAATCAACATTAAAGGTTATTATTATTAAGATATTTTACTTTTTTGTAGCAAGGCTTTGAAATTGGTGTGTGTTTTAGACTTACAGCACATCGTAGTTCAGAATGAGCACATTTCAAGTGCTCGGCAGACACATTGACTCAGGACCACCATGTTGGGCAGTAGAGGTCTAGACACACACACACACACACACACACACACACTCACACACACACTCCACCAGGACAGGGACGGGGACTATGTCTAATGAGTTCACCATCCTACCCACCCAACCCCTACCCTGGTACCTGGGGAAGTCCCTGGCAAAGATGGGGCTGGGGATTGGTCGTGGAGCTGGAGTTGAGGATCATGTTGATGTTCAATATGCATGGCATGAAGGGATGATTGAAAACACTCACCATTTGCTTGCCATGCCATCTGCTGAACGGTTAACATCTTCAGTTCTTCCACCACCGCCTGGTCTATGAGAAGAAGTCCAGCTTGAGCCCAAGTCCACCTGTACCCCATCCCCAATCTCTCCACATGCCCCTTCCTCACCCTACTCACACTTAATCAGGGTTACAGCCAGACCAGTGCAGCCCAGGAAGAGTGACACCACCACCAGAAGACACAAGAAAACCAGCCGTCTCTCCTCCTGGAAGCACCCAGGACCCCCAGATTTCTGACTGATCCAGGGCACTGGGGTTGCTGGGGGTGAGAATGAGGACTGAGAGACCGATACTGGTGCTTGAGAGTGTGCGGAAAGGATCCTTAAACCTTTCTCCAAAAGCAAGGGGACAGAGATCTATGGTTATGACTATATCACCAGATGGGGCCAGCAAGAGAGTGTTAGGGAGAGCAAACCCTGAGGAAACGCAGAGCATTTATGGAACACTTATTGTGTGCCAAGCATCCTGTTACGGCCTTATTACCTTACTGGATCCTCACCCGTATGACATAGATATATTATTCCCATTTTGTACATGAGTAGACTGAGAGGTCATGCATGACTTGGACCCCGCTCTGCCCTTAACCCCTATGATGCATTGTCTTCTGCTCTCCAGCAGCTCCTTCCCAAGCTGCTCTCCATTCAGGGAAGCCTGTGGACCTTGCATCTGGGGCAGAGAATGTTTTCTGTACCTTATATGCAAGCAGGAGGTGGACCCCAAAGAGTACCCAGCAGACACCCTGAGCCCCTGGGGGTCTAGTATAGACTCAGGGAGAAGTATCTTCTGAGAGGAAACATTTCTGTGCCCTGCAGTCTCACTCCAGAACTATAGATCTGACTCAAATACTTTGGCCATGTGAGAGGAAAAATAGGAGAACATGTGGAGAACTGACTTACTGACTTGCGGTGGCTGGAATGGAGGAACCTCGAGAGCAATTCCTGGGAAAAGGGGGAAGAGAGTTTTATTCAGAAGTTGCTGACTCTGTCTTCCAAGATCAACAAGCCTTTACTCCCTCTGATTTGCTTTCCTATCAGAACTGGGGGACTGGAGGAAGGACTTCCACGTGTCCCCTCTCAGACTTCTTGAAGTGTCTTCCCATGGCTCACCCAGTTGAGATGTGCGGGTGACAGGGATGAGGTCCAGGCCTGGAGGGAATCAGAAAGATAACGATCATGTAGAGCAGATCGTCAGCCAGGTGAACACAAAGGTGCCGCCCTAGATTCTCACCTGTGGTTTTCAGGGGCTTTCTGGAAAGTGGAGGAGTTTCTGCTTGTATTCCTGAGGAGGAAGGAAATATTGCTCAAGGCCAGAACAGTGTAAAGCCAGCACTGGGTCTCCTGTACCCCAAGCCCCAGCTCACCTGCCCGTGGAGGCCTTGGTGGAGCCACTGAAGCTGAAAAAGAGAAGCTCAGGGTTAGAGTTGACCTGTGGATGAAAATGAGATCACAGGCAGTGGTGAAAACAAGATTGAGATTGTAATGGATGGGGTTGGGCTTGAGAATAAAATTGGGGTTAGAGCCCTGGCCGGTTTGGCTCAGTGGATGGAGTGTCGGCCTGCAGACTGAAGGGTACCAGGTTCGATTCCAGTCAAGGGCATGTACCTTGGTTGTGGGCACATCCCCAGTGGAGGGTGTGCAGGAGGCAGCTGATCAATGTTTCTAACTCTCTATCCCTCTCCCTTCATGTCTGTGGAAAATCAGTAAAATATAGACTGTCTCCTGTCACCGACCACGTAAGCCAAACACTAGCCCCGTTTAAACCCACAGACTCAGGATAAAATGCTCTCTCGCCAGCAATGACTACAAGATGAGTTTGTGTGTCATTGGGCAGCTCTGCCCCACATAAATAATCAGCTCTGTGACCCTGATACTCAAGCTGAAGCCACTTCTGTAGTGAGGACAGGAAGTTTGTGTCTCGGTCCCACTTCCCTCATTTCATTCTTCGGTTGTGGCCACCCTGCTGACTTCATGCACATCATGGATGTGGACTCGAAGAGCCGCGTGGCTGCGTCTGCCTTGAGTGAGTGTGAGAAAGGCGGCAGCGGCCCTCAGTGCAGTGCTGAGCTGGGGTCAGTAAGAGCCACAAGGTAGAGACCGTGAATGCCTGTCTGGAATACTAAGGCCTGTCTTCTGCAAGTTTCCATTGGGAATGGAGCTGATCTGATGCTTCAGCCTAGGACCTCAAGCCTCACTGGACATATCCCAAGGATGATTTTAGGAACAGGAAGTCCTCGAACACCGTCTACTAGACCATGGCTCAAGAAGCCAGACTCTCAGGCACTTTAGCTGCTCCCTCTGGTACCATTTCTGGGGATTGTTACTCGAGAGAGCTCTGGCCAGAGCTATTTTTCTCTTGGGAGGTGGGCTTTCTCTAAGTGGTGAAAAGTATAAACCTTGTATCTTAAAAAAAAGGGGCGGGGGTTAGAGATAAGGACAGGATTAAGATACAATGACCAACCATCCTGGATTACCCAGGATTTTCCAAGTTTTAAAACTGAAAGTCCCACATCCCAGGAAATCTTTCATCCCTGGGCAAACTGGGACAGTTGGTCACCCTAAGTTAAAGGCACAGTTAAGTTTAGGGATGGGGATGAAGTTAAGGTTGGGGTTGGCATGAGGGTTTGGATTGAGATGAGGATTGGGTTGAAGATGGGTCAGGGATACTGATAGGCATTGGAGTAGGGCTGTGATTCAGGATGTGATTTTTTTTTAAAGAGAATCTCTAGATTTATTTTTTTAATATATTTTATTGATTTTTTACAGAGAGGAAGGGAGAGAGAGATAGAGAGTTAGAAACATCGATGAGAGATAAACATCGACCAGCTGCCTCCTGCACATCTCCTACTGGGGATGTGCCCGCAACCCAGGTACATGCCCTTGACCGGAATCGAACCTGGGACCTTTCAGTCCACAGGCCAACGCTCTATCCACTGAGCCAAACCGGTTTTGGCAGGATGTGATTAAGATGAAGAATGGGGCCGTAGCTGTGTTGGTGGATGGGGAAGAAGTTGTACTGGGATGAACATGGGTTTGGACGAAGGGAAGAAGTTGAGGTTGGGTTGTAGCTGTGTTGGAGCATGGTGATGGCATTGTATTTAGAAATGGAGATGGGGGTGGAGATATAGCTGCACTTGGAGATGTGGAGGGGGCTAAATTTGGGGGGTGGTGGCCCTGAAGATGGAGATGGGATTAGCTTTGGAATTGGGTTTGAGAATCATGTTGGGACCAGGTTGGAGTTGGAGATAAGCAGTCAAACAGCAGAGTGAAGTCTGGCTGGTGTGACTCAGTTGGCTGGACATTGTCCTGTAGACCAAAAGTTTGCTGATTTGGTTCCCGATCAGGGCATGTGCCCGGGTTGTGGGCTCGATCCCTGGTAGGGGGTATACAGGAGGCAGCCAGTTGATATTTCCCTCTCACATCAATGTTTCTCTCTCCCTCTCCCTTCTGCTCTCTCTAAAGGTCAATAAAAAATATTTTTTAAAATATTCTATCAATGGCAAATATGTTAAAAACAAAACAAAACAGCAGAGTTCAGTTTATCTCCCACCTCATCCTGAGCCCCACAGAGCCCTGAGAACTCTCAAGTTGGCCCCAGTCTAGACTCAGAAGTGGAGAATATGGAGCTTCATCCCACATGGAATGACCCCTGTCCAAGGACACCAAGGCAGCACAGTCAGCCCTCAGGGCCCTGGTGGGAGCTGACTCAGGGAAACTTCCAAAACCTCCACTTTTATACCCACTTATCAGACTCTTATTGATTCCCAAGCCGGGTGTGGACCACCCAAGTCTGAAGGCAAATCTGACCGTAGGTGTGAATGCTAGGAGGTTGGGGAGCCAACAGTCCACTCTCAGTTTCTCAAACGCTGGTTTTCATATCTTTGGGTCTTTGCATCCACCAGTTCTCTTCTGGGCTTCTCTTCGTAACAAACTCCTACTCATCCGTAAGTCCTACTCCAAAGTCCTCTCTTCTGACCCCCAATCTTCCTACCATTGCAGGCCGAGCCCTCCATTTCCCTCCTGATTTCCCCAACCTCTGGTTTATCCCTGTTCAGATCTGCTAACCTGAGGTTCTTCCCAGAACAGATTTCCCCACCAGCCTGAGATATCATCAAGCGCAATGCAGAGGCATGAGTACCCCCACCATCAGAGGGCCCGGCATGGGCCGAATACACAGGAAGCTGATCAGGTGTCTACAGAGCCCAGCTAGTGTCCCCTGGATACCTAGCTCCCCCTCCATCCCACAAACCACACATCTCTTCACGTAGCCTCTGAGAAGTCCTCTTACCTGGCTTGGGAGGAAGGGCCTTGTAGGATGGCGCCATGTTCTCATAATCATCAGCATCATCATCATCATCCTCTCTGGTCCCTTACAGAGGAATGGTATGTGAGCACCCAGCCCATTTCCACCTCTGTCCCTCAGGCCCAAGTTTTCAGCCCCAGGATGGAGATGCTGGGTCCTGACCACCCCTGGCCTCCAACCCAAGTCTGATCACGGCTGTACCTGGAAGGTTCCGGCACCCAGAGTTAGGATACAGGATATTCATGGCTGTAGCTAACACAAGAGACTGAGAAGGTGCATTCAGAGCCTTAAGGCTCTGCCCCCTGTCCTTCCTTCTCAGGTTTCTCAGTTCCCTTTTTTAAGAGAAGTACATGCAAATCCATCTTAAAGGGAACTACCCCAAGACCACATACACATACACATACACACACCTTTCTCCCCAGTATCAATTCATGCATAGAAGTGACAGAAACAACAGCCCTCTCTCTTGAGTTCCTTTAGAGTGCCAAGCCCCCTGGATGGAAAAGATTGACAAGCTCCTTCCTCCATGGAACTTTCCATCAAGACAGGAGAGACAATAAACCAGTAAAGAAATATAGAAATAAATGCTATCGTTTTTATTTTATGTCCCATCATGACTAAACATTTTTTTAATAAAAAATGGTAATAGGATAGGATAGGATGGGGGCTAATGTAGAGAGGTGATCAGGGAAGGTCTCCTGGAGGTTGTAACTTCTGTAACAAGATGTTAAAGTGACAGGTGCTAAGTACTCCCACATTCCAAAGTGAAGTGCTAGGGCACTGGATCGGTTAGCTATGACTGCATTAAAAAATTACCCCAAAACTTAGTGACTTAAAACAATACTACTGCCCTAACTGGTTTGGCTCAGTGGATAGAGCGTAGGCCTGTGGACTCAAGGGTCCCAGGTTCGATTCCGGTCAAGGGTATGTGCCTTAGTTGCGGGCACATCCCAGTAGGGGGTGTGCAGGAGGCAGCTGATCGATGTTTCTCTCTCATCAATGTTTCTAACTCTCTATCCCTCTTCCTACCTCTCTGTAAAAAATCAATAAAAATATATATATTTTTAAAAAAACAATACTACTTTTCTCATACTTCCTGTGATTCAGGAATGCAAGAGCAGCTTAGCTGGGTGGTTCTGGCTTGGGATCTCTCACTTGTTTGCAATTTGTTGGCCAGGGCTGCAATCATCTGAAGGCTCAACTGGGGCTAAAAGAGCCTCTTCCAAGATGGTGCCTTCACATGACTGCTTGAGAAGCCCACTGTTCCTCACCATGGGAGCCTCCCCAAAGGGCTGATTGGGTGTCCTCACCACATGGTGGAGGCTAAGATGGAAACCATAGTGCCTTTTATGGTCTAAACCTACAATCCCAAATTATGGTCTCCACTATATCTATTTGTCAAATGGACCACCTGTGAGTCATTGTGAAGGGGACTGCACAAAGGTGTGAATACCAAGATGTAAGCATCATTAGGACCATCTTTAAAGCTGGCTACTACAATCATATATACAGAACTTGCAAAGGAAGTTTTCACACTTAGTTTGACCTTGGTGGGTATTTAAAAAGGAAAAGTTGAAGAGAGAAAGCAGTCTGCCTACCGCATGGGAAAGCCAAAAGATGAGGTTTTGACTCACACCCATAACAGCATGAAGTGAAAAGATAGACAGAAAAAAAGGGCTGCAGTAGGAGTGGTTGCCTCTTTTGGTACAGCAAGGATATGGGAGTTTCCTGTGATCAAACTGAAATAACCAGCCTGGAGCTATTCGGAGAACCCTGCTCAAGAGGGCAGCCAACCTGTTTTCTCAAAAGGACTGCCATTGGCCTTTGGGCCCAAGAGCCTTCGAATTTATGGCTCCTCCCTTCTCTCTCACTCCATGGCTATGGCAAAGGGAATTTTCAAAAGCACATCGCATGGCCTGCATGGTCTTATGAAAGGTGACCTTGCTGCTACTTAAGGAATAGAGTCTAATTCTCTTCCCACTAAATCTGGACTGGCCTTAGTCTCTTATAACCAATAGAACGCTGTGGAAGTGACATCTGCCATGCAGCTTCCACCTGGGTCTGTCAGAACACGTGCTCCCAGAGCCATGTCGTGAGAAAGCCTAAGCCACATGGAGGTCACAGGGAGGTGCTCCACTCAAAAGTCTCAGCTCAACCCAGGTGCCAAAGATTCTAGCCCCCAAGACATTAGAGTCACCTTCGGCCCTACGAGTCTTCCTCTCCTCTGGTCAAATGTTAGGAAGTCTGGTTGGCTCTGCCTGCACAATATATCCAGCATCTGAGCCCTTCTCACCTCCTGGTCTGAGCCACCATCATCTTTCACCTGAATTACGGTCCTAAACTCCACCTTGGTCTACCTGCTTCCCCCTTTGTCCTCAAGATAGTCAGACTAATAAAAGCAGAAAGTAGAAGCAGAGAGGTGGTTTCCAGGGGCCAGGTGGAGGGGGAAATGGGGAGATGTTTAACAAGGGCTACAAAGCTTCAGTTATACAAGATGAATAAGTGCTGGAGAACTGTGGTGTGAGCAATGTGACTAGTTGACAATATTGGATTGTGTACTTGAAATTTGCTAAGAGGGTAGATCTTGCGTGTTCTCACTACAAAAAAAGGAAAATGGTAGCTGTGAGATGATGAATATGTTAGTTGGCTTGGTTGTGGTGAATATTTTATAATGCTATGCATATTGGGTCATCAGATTATGCACTTTAAATATATACAGTTTTTGAACCTCAATAAAGCTGGAAGAAAAGCAAACATCAGCTTGTCTTGATTTAAACTTTTGCTATTTTGTTCATCATGGGTTTTTTCATTTCTTTTTATTTTTTAAATATTTTATTAATATATCATTTATCTAGGCGGGGAGAAGTCTGAAATAAAGGTGTCAGCAGGGTCCTGCTCTCTCTGAAGGCTCTGGGCGGGGAACCTTCCTGACTCTTTCAGCTTCTGGGGGCTCCTGGCATCCCTTGGCTTGTGGCTGCATCACTCCAATCTTTGCCTCTGTCTTAACATGGCCTTCTCTCTGTGTGTCTCTGTGTCTCACATCTCCCTCCCTCACTTCTTATTTAATCCTCACCTGAGGATATTCTTTCCATTGATTTATAGAGAATAAAAGGAAGGAGGGGGGAGAGAAAGATAGAGAGAGAAAGAGACAGAGAGGCAGAGAGAGAGACAGAGAGAAACATTGACATGAGAGAGACACATCAATTAGTTGCCTCCTGCACACACCCCAGCCCTCTGGTTTGTGGGCCGACACTCTAACCATTGAGCCACACCAGTCAGGGCTCCCTCTCCTTTCTCTGAATCTAGATGCTATACTGGTGGCCTTGAAGACATAGGAAAAGGCCATGAGACCAGGAAGGCAGCTCTCCCTTGCAAGGGAGACTCTCAGGAAGGCAAGAAAACAGACTCTCCCACTAGACTCTCTGAGGGAAGGTAGCCCTGCTGATAACTTGGTTCAAGCCAAATGAAACAATTGGAACTTCTGACCTCCGGAGCTATAAAAGAATTATGTTCTGTTGTCTTGAGTCACTAACTTCATGATAATTTGGTATAATAACCATAGGAAACTGTTACGTACCCCAAAGGACAATACCCCAATTCCCCTTTGTAGGGGCTTTCCACTGCCAATAAAAGGAAACACAACTCAGGTTGGCTTCAACAACAAGGAAATCCCACCCAGCCCACGTTCAGATTAGAGTAGCAGGCTGAGGTGCTGTAACAGATTCGGAACGAGAGTGGCTTCTCAAAACAGAATTTATATCTCAACTCACAACCTCAATATTGCCAATCAGCAGTCTTGACGAGTGGAAAACTGTCCCCAACAAAGAGGGAGGTGGGTGGCCCCAGGCCCAGCTGAGCGGGTAGGGGCTGCAGACTAGCCTCCCTTTGCAGAGAAAGCTAACCTGGGGCCAGGCTGTCCCCTGTTACAATGAACGATGGGGACGGTCTCATTCTGCCGTTGGGGAATTCTGAGAAGAAAGGAAGAAAGAGCTGTTCACCCAGCAAACACCCGTGGAGCACACACGGGGAGCATATGTGTAGATCTGGAGGGTCATGGAAGAGAGAGAGGACAGAGATAAGAGTGGAGTACACCAGTCAAGAAGATCAATAGCATCTCTGCCTATCAAGGGCATAGAGGTGAGTGGCCCTGGAGCAAGGGAAGTGCAGTGGATGAATTCGCTGTGTGGGAGTGATGGCCACATGGCCTAGGTCCATGAGTGCGGCAAACTGTGGCTCGCGAGCCACATGCGGCTCTTGGCCCCTTGAGTGTGGCTCTTCCACAAAATACCCATGTGCGGGCGCACACATACAGTGCAATTGAAACTTCGTGGCCCATGCGCAGAAGTCGGTATTTTGTGGAAGAGCCACACTCAAGGGGCCAAAGAGCCTCATGTGGCTCGCGAGCCGCAGTTTGCCGACCACCGGCCTAGGCCATCCCTCAGGACCTGGCTCACAGTAGGCACTGAGGAATTGGCAGTGGAATCCAGTCCCATCCACTGGGTATAACATAAGACCATGGGCCCAGGCTGACCCCGGCTCTGCCCCATTCTTGCTGTGTGACCTCAGGGGAAAACAACATCTCTGAGCAACTATTCTCCTGATACGTCCAAAGGGATGAGGGTTTCAGTCGTTCGTTCATCCATTCAACAGATATGTATTGACCACCTACTATGTGTTAGGCCCTGTGCTAGGTACTAGGGATCCACTGGCGGGAAAAAAAAATCCCTTGCAATAAAAAGGAAGATCACAAAATGGAAATCACACACAGCATGTTCTCAGACCAGAACCAAATTAAACTATAAGTCACAGACTGATATCTGGAAAACCTGCAAATATTCAGAAATCAAGTCACATCCACGCATCAAAGAGGAAGTCAAAAATTACAAGTATTTTTAACTGAATGAAAGCGAAAGTGTACCCTCAGACCATGTGGGGTGCAGGTAAAACAGTGCTAAGAGGGAACGTTGGGACATTAAATACATATGTTTGAGAAGATGATCAGGTATATTTGAAAGATGCTGGGAGAATAAATTTTTTTAGGTTTTTTTTTTAGATAATACTCTTAGAAATATATTTTTATTTATTGATTTGAGAAAGAGAGAGAGAGAGACATCGATTTGTTGTTCCATTTAATTATGCATTCATTGGTTGCTTTTTCTATGTGCCCCGACCAAGGATCAAACCCACAACTTTGGTGTATCAGAACGATGCTCTTAACCAACTGAGCTACCAGACCAGAGCTAG